AGCCCGCAGAATCAGCTGTAGGGAGAAAGGCTCCTCTAGGGGTTTGGGGGCTCTACTAGGGTACTAGGTAATTCCGAAGAAATTTTTAAGTTTGGCTCAGTTTTACACACCCTTTGCAGAAGAGATCCTATAGGTTGCTGATATCAAATTGGAATAAGTACCGGACTACAATGTACGTTTTCCTCTCTTCAGCATTTCACTCGAAACACTAGCCCGACCTTATATTTACTTGTAAATTATTAATGTTATTAGGTTAACCTAGTTACCAACTGTCCACGTGTGCGACCTACTGACTTACCTTACCTTACCTGGGCCCTTGGCCCCGTGCGGAGCTACTGACTGGCCGCTAGAAAAGGCTGTACTGTTAGGCACAGACGTATATATCATAGCTGCTAACTTATGTGACATGTTCTGGACAAGACACACATAAAGTTTATGGAAGTGAGGCGCGACTGGTTCTTATTAGACTCCCCGCGGGCCGCCTCCTGTGCCAAGGACGAGGGCTGAGGCAGCACGTAGACCAGCCAGCTACGTAGTCCAATTGCCCGCCAATTGTAGGAAAGTTATCATTCGTAGCAAGCTGGCGAAATTTTGCGAATCAATTTTTCCGTCCTGAAATTAGCATAATACGTAGGAAGTCCCCGTGAATCGCGTAAAGCGTTGTCACCAGCTCCCCATGTAGACCCCCCAAGGAAATGAAGGACGTGCTCGATCTTATACACTACAAGATTTATGAGCTGGCCAAAATGGTCCACATTTTCTGCATCACGGTGTCATCAGGCGTCCCGTGGGTTCGTGCACTGTCGTCTGGCCTGCCAGTTGAGGGTGATTAGGTGAAAGGATTTGGAAGGAGGAATAAGATTTAAATTGTCATTTTCAACCAAGGAGCTTCTTGCTGCAACATTCCGCTGCCAAAAAAATTGCGTCTTACCCAAAATTCGGACTGAATAGCACCAGTATTTGTCAAAAAATGAGCACCTCTTTAAAAGTTTAATATGGCAGGTATAAAAGATTGTCTTCGTGAAGTCTTGAATAATCTTGCATAATCTGTTTAATAGCACATCCAGTACTGCCGCAAGTTGTTCTTTTACATGGCCAAATGCAATGCTTTTTGACATAAACTTTTTAAAAATGTCATGCTGTTCTTTCTAATACATGTAGTTTGGATCTCAGCATGTCCGAGTGTGTGACTATTTCAGTGCCCCAAGGTGTACAAGGTCAGGGACAAGGTGATAAAGAAAAAACGACGTCACTTCAGGCGCAGGAACCTATAATGCAGACAAGACTCTCACGAAAGTACAGAGGAGTGCTCGGGGCTTCTCGCGTCTTTTTCTTTCATCAGGTTGATTTGTGAGAAACGTATTTTCCATCTAACCCAATACAGGCAGCTGGCTGAAGTAGAGGCTACGTTTTTTTTTTGCCGCGGGAAGAATGAACAGACCAATTTCCAGCCCCCATTGGAATATATGGGGAACACGAAGAACTGAGCAGGCAAAAATCACCTACTTGAGTGTTCAACTATTGCAAACTCAAATTGCATAACAGGGTAGTCCAACCTCCAAATTGTCCATTTAGTAAAAAAAATCTCATATTTTGACTAGTGGAAATAAGTACGATGGATGGAAACAGTGAGATCATGACCTCTGACCCCCCTGTACACATCACCAAAAAACAACAAGATGGGATTACTTTTAGACTACTAGTAGAGCTCTACTGGCAGGCAGCCGAAAAAAATGAAAAGCACACAATAGAAAGAGAAATAACTCTCCAGTTGAAAAATGCCAGCATTTATCCACACATACCAGAAATAAGTTTGTGTGTTTTGGATGCACTTAAAATGTGCCTTCTGCGCCTGCGGGAAATAGTGACCTTTGCCCAACAGCAAGGTGAAGAGACATGCGCAGTACGGCACTTGGGAAACCGTAGTTCATCTGCTGCTCATTTTCTGTAGAGCGGCTCAAATTTAGCCTCCCTAGCAGGCTCCGTCAACGGTCTCACAAAGTGGCTTATTATGTGCTGTTATGTTCAGGACCCGTGTAATAATGGCCTCGGGGATGGAGAATTCCCAGTGGATTCGGAAGGTCAAGGGGTCGAACCACTGTCGGCTCACACTGCTTTCTCACGTTATGAAAGAAAGGCTATGAAACTTGCACACATACCTTTACAATCCTCAACCCTGCCGTTTTGGCCTATGTGGCTTTTAAAAAAGGGTTATAACTTATAGAAACCGAGATAGACACCGAAGGAAAAGTTTTTTTTTTTTAAAATTCTGTGAAGTTCATCCAAGTGATTGTTACATCATTCATCATTGTATTCAGTTTTTTGACGGCCGTCCAGATTTTACCAGTTTGTTGACGCAGTTTCTTCCCTCTCCCCACTGACACTCCCCTGTCCTCAGATCACCCGTGTGGACTACATTGCAGGGCTTCCAAGAAAACATTCTCCGTGCAAGACGACGTTACGTCACGACGAGATTCCATAATCATTGAAAACAGACACGGACGGAGAAGGATCCAGTGCCAGAACGTACTGCAATGCGAGGCTGACGCAGTGCTCTCAAAAGCCTGCAATGCGAGGCTAACAGCTGGAGTCAAAACTGCAAGTTACAGTACCATTGTGTTTCTATCTAGCGCTAGTTACCTACATAAAAATGTAGGTATTGTGTTTGGCCTGTCTGTCTGTGTGTCTGTCTGTGTGTCTATGTGTCTATGTGTGTGTGTTTCCGCATACTTGTGGTCAGCATAACTGCAGAACGCCCTGATGGAATGTGATTATATTTGGTATGTTGGTAGTTCTTTCTAGTTGGAAGGCAAAGGTCAACGTCAAATCTGGGCCTCCTAGTGGCTGACCTTGGTACTGCAGCAGAACTTTTTTTATCTTTTGTCCTGAACATGCTACTGTCTTGACTTTTTGGTGACAGATAGCTTTTCCTCACGTTCAGGAAGAAGTGGTGTGGGTTTGATCCCCATAGCAGCTAGGACAGCTAGGCTTGATGATTGTTGCGTGCATTTCACAGTCGGACTTTATAAGAGAAGTCGCGTGAGAAAGCCTGATTTGTCGTCTTCTCGGATACTCCATTTGTAGCTTATTAAGCCTCCCCAGCCGGGGAAACACAGTATCCGATATTTGATCTTTCAGGACTTCCTTGATTCCCTTTGAATCTTTTATCAGGCAGGTACAAGTCTTTCTTGATTAAGACCGATTTGGGCGGCAGGAAACCAGTGCGGTCACAATGGACGTTTCCCTTCAATTATCAGGCATGTGGTTTTCCGCAGACCCATGACCATGCACTGATAATCGTCAGACACGTTTATGGTTTGTTGAAGACCGTTCTGTGCAAAGGACCACCGTGTATAGCCTAGAAGCCAGGCTCCAGAGCCTGCACAGGCCCGTAGTCTTCTGTTCCATAGGCCCAGAGGAAAGGCCAGGAAAGTTTTCATTGGGACATGTTGGCACTGAAGCCGAGGAGCTGGTCTGTGTAGGCCATTTCTATAGCCTGGCTTCGAGGCGAATCGCACGTTCACAGGACTGTCGACGTCGCCTTCTTGCTTGAACGTTCAAAGGTAGCTCAGTAATTTTTCATCCCGAAAGTCACGGGTGGTATCGGATGTACAGGAGTATTAGCCTCTACCAGGCTTCGGGACTCGAAGCGGCAAATGTTTTCTCCAGCAGCACCAATTTCTACTCTTTCAAGAAATTCCAACAGCTATTCTGTCTTTTCCTCATATATTATACAAATGAGATCCTGATTTGAATAGATTGTTTTAATAGTGATGTTCACCTTCACTGAACAAGTATTATACCCAGCAGTTAACACTATAAAATTGTAGCAATTTCACATTAATTATGCAGATTAGGTCTTCATTTACATACCAGAACAGTGTAACCTTAATAAATGAACAAGTTTGTTGCATGCAGTTGTGTAAAGAAGAGTCGATTCTTCTCCTTTAAAGGTTTATTCAAAAGATTAATGTCTATTCTACATAATACATTTTCCCCGCTAAGCATTGATAACGGTCTACCCCAGCCCAGGATGATCAGAAACGGATGTTTTTGTCCAAGGTCATCCTTCCTGATAGGCCGTTCTCAAAGTTTTCTAGTGCGCATGCTCTTGTGAATGTCAAAGGTCAAGATCTGCAGAGTACAAACCAAGAACACGTGGATCTGCACATTAAGGTCGTGAGTGACTTCACTATGTCTGACTTTGGTATACACTATGATAGGGGTGTGACCCTGTGTTCTTGGCTGAAAACCAAGCACGCATGAGCTTTAGGAAACCGCTTTGTGCTAATAGATTACTGATTACTTGCAAAAGGTGGGGTCGTGTGGCGTAACGTGTAGAATGTTCCGCTTTAATAGACCCAATCTTGTGCCCTTGGGAAATGCACTTTATTACACGACTTCGCTCACTTCACTCACTATATATACGTACCTAGCTTCGGTCTTACACAGCTTGCACTCTTGTATCTGTAGAGCCGGTATAACCGCCTTTCGGCGTAACACACCAGCTTCTTTACATGTACATGTACAAGACTGGTGTGTTACGACTAAAAGGGTCATTAAAAGCGGTTTACAGGTTATGCGAACAAACAAGCAAAAGCACCATGCTTCATCCCAGTAAGTTGATGATGACTGCTTCACAGTCATCATCTTCTTCTTCTTCTTCTCCACTCGTCCCTTATACTTACTCCTTTAAACTCCCTCGTAGACCACCGAGGTCGGCTAACAAATATCACCAATGAGAGTCGGCGGCGTGACCTTTTACACTCCTTTATACCCAACCTCAGCCGGAAGCTTTACACAAACACAAACCGCAACTATAAAAGTAATTATGTTGGCCCTCTAATCACATCCGGCAGACGGAGGCACGTTATGTAGACAGGAGGTGCCACAGGGTCATTGTCCTAACCACCTAGGGTCACCGGTCCCTCCGACTCACACTGTTCTCAGGACGGTCACGGGTTAGTCTCCACCAGACTTCTTTTGCGGGGTGAATAAATCGTAGAAATCGGCCTAAAAAGGGAGGGCGGGGCCCTGGAGCTTCTCTGGCCGGCTACCTTCTCTGGCCAATCAATACCCTTTTTAGGCCGATTTCTACGATTTATTCACCCCGCAAAAGAAGTCTGGTGGAGACTAGTCACGGGTGGCCTTGGACATTAAACGGGACATCAGTGATGCCATCACGGGGAACAATGGGTTCTTCTTCTCCACTCGTCCCTGTCCTCCATCAGTGAGGGGAGTTCTGCTGTGGTGATGTTGCTGAGCCCAGCATCCCGCTTCAGGGTGTCCATCTCCATGAAGGTTGTACTTCTTCTACCCCTTCTCTTTCTTCCCTCTGCTGTCTCCCACGGGATTAGGTCACTGGAGAGTGGCCTAGCCTAGCCTGACTAAAAAATAGCGCACCTAGCGGTCCCAATCAGCCTATGCTATGGCGAGAGAGTGTGTAACGCAGGCCAACGGGCTATCGAGTACGTCACCTGGAAGTAGCCCCCATCATAGCAATCAACGCTGGTTGCAAAATAAACAGTAAAAATTCAGCCAAATAGTGATGATAATTCGCCATTGAGTGTGGTTACCATAAGCAGATAGTATACGAAGGTAAACATTATGCATTTGCTTTGCAAATGTTACCTTTCTAATTTCCTTTATTTCCTACAGGAAACATTAGCGGGGTCGTGGAAGGTTATGTAACCTCATACATAACTGTTACTGACACGGCCGCCAGTTGCTTGTTTGGTCTTGTTTGGTTTGCCCGCCTTGTTTTTTTTCGCCCTATCGCATTAGATTTTGAGTCTGCGGACGATGTCGTCCATAAAATTCACTTCATGTGGCCTAACTAATATTTCCTTCCTCTTGGCCATTGGGCTATCAAATTGACATATATGGCCTTTCCGAAGGAAATGATGAGTTCATTAGTATGTATATAAAGTAGGAAAAACCACTGGCTATCCATATCATCACCAGTCTAATTTCCTTTAAATCATACAGGCAAACATTAGCGGGGTCGTTGAAGGTTATGTAACTTCATACATAACTGTTGACACGACCGCCAGTTGCTTGGAATTATTTTGTATCAACGCAAACAGTTTGAAACACCAGAGAAGCAGCTCGCTTATACACAAAGAGGCGGCAAGAGAACCGTTGACATTGCCATTAGACACCTGGAACTACATAAATTGTATAAATGCGACCAACATTCAAGCAAACCTTTTAGTGGGTTCAAGCGAGGTCAAATCCTTATTAACAAACACGTTGCATCATCTTTAAATATTGGCTTTTCATCATTGGCTTTTACGTTGACGGTTCTGCAGAGCTTTCAAGGGCAACACTCCCACCTTCGGTCAACACCATCCCACATCTCTTAAGGGTTAATAAGCAATTGGAATACATAATTAGGCCACAGCAATTTTCATGGATAACATCAGCGCGCGAATTGATTTTCGCCTGATTTTGGAAAAGAAAACAAGAAATGTTGTTATCCTTTGAAAGTGGTCAACATGCCGAAAATGGACAAAGATGTCATGCTGGAACGTGGATGGCAGATAATGAAGAGAGGAGACAATGCTCGAATTTATTGTTTTGTCTTTTGCTTTGACTTTTATTTTTCAGTGACAAATAATGAATGTTGTGGTAGTTGGTAGTAAACCCAGCACAACATATGTATCATTTCTTGTTTAACTAGGCATATGATGTCAAAATTTAAAAATGTAGGAATCTTGTTTTTTTGCCCGCCTTGCTTTTTGTTGCCCTATCGCATTAGATTTGGAGTCTGTGGGGGATGTCATCCATAAAATTTACTTGCTGTGGCCTAACTAATATTTCCTTCCTCTTGGGCTATCAAATTGACATATATGGCCTTTCCGACGGAAATGATGAGTTCATTAGTATGTATATAAAGTAGGAAAACCACTGGCTATCCATATCATCACCAGTCGGCGTTGAAGTCGTACAGACTTACACGCAGCATATCGCCATCAAAGGGCTTTTCCTACTAATGTTCCGGTAGGTAAAGTTTCTGCATGTCTGTACTTTGTAGTGCGAAACAACTCGGCAAAATCCGACCGTAACCACTTGCACTAGACTTAGCAACAATCCAGTTTATCGCTCACACGGGTTTTTATGTCTTCTTAAGTGATGAGATCTTAGAAATCATTATTTGAGCTTAGAACTACCTTCTGTAGAAGACGATATATATCCAATGTATTGAACTAAAGCCCATATTCAATTTGCCATCTAGGAACAGCGCCGTAGATAGATACTGACCAGAGAAGGCGATGGATTGCTCAAATATGACTGGCAACACATCAGGCTACAACAATACAGAAGTCTTCGACTGTGGTAACGATACAAGAGTGTCCTGGCCACAATCTCCCTCCCCAACACATGAACTGGCGACTGTCTGCATCGGGCAGTTGGTAGCTGGTGTAGGATTGCTTGCAAATCTTTTAGTTATCTTCATCATCGCTAGATACCCGGCCATGCGAACTGTGCCTAATGTGTTTGTGCTCAACTTGGCGGCAGCGGATGCTCTGTATTGCTGCGCGGCGCCTTTTTATTCTGTGTACTCCCTGCACGTAAAAGGTTGGATATTCGGCAATGTGATGTGTAACGTCTACTACATCATGGGGTACGTTAGCGCGTTTTGTAGCGTGTGGTTCCTGACTGCTTTGAGCATCGAACGGTACAAGGCCGTCACAGACCCCATCAGACACTCACAGAACATGTCTCAGAAAAAAGCGTGGGCTGCCAGCGTCGTTGTGTGGATCGTTGGTCTAGCCGCCGCGTCGCCTCTGTTGATCTTTGTAAAAACCGATGTTCACATCTACTCCGTTCAGTCGGAGGGTGAAGATCACATCATAACCACATCATGCGACGCCTTCGCCCCAGACCAGATACCAGAAGAACTCTTCAAGAAATTACGTGGCTTGTACGCCTTTGTGGGAAACTTCCTCGCACCGTTATGTATTATCATACCTTTATATGTAATAATATGGCGCGAACTGCGGGGGAAAAAACCGTGTAATCTATCCCCACAGGTAATCAGATCAAGAAACAGGGTTACCAGGATGGTCGCCGCTGTGGTGGCGTTCTTTGTTGTCGCCTTGCTCCCCTGGCACACCTACTGGATACTCACATACTTCAACCTGATTCAGAACGTTCCCAATGGTCTGTATGACGTCTGTTTGGCGCTGTACGTCACAAATTCCGCCGTAAATCCATTCTTTTATGCATTATTGGGCGATAAGTTTCGACAGTATATCCAAATCCTTCTTTGTCAGTGGCGTCTATGTGGAAAAAATGCTGGACAGAATAGGAGGATACCTTCTAGATCTGACCAGGTGGCAACAATACTGTCTTATGATACACGACTGTGAAATGCATCTAGGTTGTTTAAATGATTTTGGTTTCCATTGCCATTTGTTTCGTATCATTGTTGTTCCTCAGTTTGGGGAATATATATATGTACACAGACTGGTGTTACCGTGTTACTGATGTATTGACTGCTATAATAAACATGCCTGAAGTGTTGATGGATCCTTATTGTCCTCATTTATCGGTAGAAATATTCAGGTAAATGACTGCAGTCATTTAAGTATGTAAGGGTTTCTATTTTTGTTTGCTCAGAAAAAAATATTTGGAATGTACAGAATAAGTCGGTCACACCGCATCATGATGTTAGCACACGTACATGTACTTGTAAAGTCTAGTACACATGTATCATCTATCACTGGATAATGTTCAAGATGATTCTTAAGCTCCTATATGAATATAACACATAAGATATGGTGAAATCGGATTTATCTATTTATCTGTTTAGCCCACTATAATTACTGTATACCGTGCGTCCTAACACGTAACTCGGTAGGGGTCAGGTAGTAATGCTGAGGTCACATTTCCAAACCGGGGCCCGGCCGGGCTGTTTCGATTAAAGAAAAATCAACGATTTATATCAATAATATACGCAATTAATTTTTTTCAACTTTTTCGTGATTTGATGTCTTTTATATGATACTTTTCGTTCCATAAGCCTGCCCGGCCGGGTTTGGAATTGTGACCTCAGCATAAGGGGGAAAGCACTGTTAAGAGACAACATGTCGCTCTTCTAAACATCCACAGAAGAGAGCTGAAGAAAGGAAGGACAGATTCACTCAGTCATCACGGTCGCGCTTATGATCTTATCGATACGGTCGGGGTCTCGGGGGGTCTTTAAAGCGTTTATGACTACTTTAATAGCCGGGTAACGTCTTGTAGCTGTCAGGCTGAGCAGTCCCCTGGGATCGGACCGTGAGCTGAGCTGAGTGTTTTGTCCACCAGACGCATCAACAGCTGCATTAGGCCATAGCAAGAAATTTTTATGTATGACATCAGCGCGCGCATTAATTTTCGCCTGATTTTGGGGAAAAAAACAAGAAATTTAGTTTCCCTTTGACAGCGGACAACATGCCGAAAATGGTTAAATATGTCTGTTGCCATGCTGGAACCTTAATAACAGATAAATTTGAAGAGAGGAGACAAGACAAGACACTGATTTAATGTTTTGTATTTTACTTTTACTGTGTTGCAGTGTTGTATTTCATTCCTTTATATGTGGTGTTGCCGCTGAATCACAAAATATTGTTTAAAAGTATATCTCAAAATTTGAAAAAAAAATATAGAAATCTAATTTTTTGGGGCCGCCTTGTTTTTTTTCGCCCTATCGCATTAGATTTGGAGTCTGCGGAGGATGCCATCCATAAAATTTACTTGCTGTGGCCTTAGGATTGTAGGAATGATGAATATAGGTCTGCATAGATGAACACATCCGTGGACGGAATCATTTCCACTTATTTGATGCCGAGTGAGCTTCTCAGTCAGGTTTTTTAGGCTTTGAGCGTCTACATGTTATAGCTCGGCAGATTCAACAGTTGCCAAGCGGTGTTAATTGTCTGAGCATACATTGATGATGCTGTGAGGAAAGATGAAGCTGGAAGTACTAGTAACACCAGTGGCTCTATTCGAGATGGTCAAGCTTGAGGGAGTAAGGTTAGAGACGTGGAATACAGCGAAGATAGGAGGAGACTCATAATAGTCATCTCGAGGAGGACACGCCCCCGAAAGGTATGAGTATTTAGGAGGAGAACAGAGAGATTCAGCATCACTCCAGCCAGACCAACAGAGTTCTGGGAATATTCAACCGAGAGGATCACTCTACTGCCTGGTCACAGAAGAACACATGAGAGTATGGACGAGTTTAATTTTATGATGGATTCGTTGCCTATCATGGGTGATTTTCTTCCGAACATATCCGGTGAAAACAGATCTGCAACCTTTGGCAGCTTGAACGTCAGTTACAGTGACTGGCCACTGGATTCTACCTCTGCTACTGTCGTTGTTTTTGTTTACATCAGTCAACTAGTGGCCATCGTAGGATTCCTCGCAAACCTGTTGGTGTTGTATATCATTATTAGGTATCCTGACATGCGGACGGTTCCTAATATTTTCGTTCTCAATCTGGCTATAGCGGACGCATCGTACTGTTGCTCTATCACGTTTGACACAGTCGCTCAGCTGCACGCGAATGGCTGGATATTTGGCCATACCATGTGCGTTGCTGGCTATATCATGTGTTATGGCAGTTCGTATTGCAGCGTGTTCTTCCTTACTGCTATCAGTTTTGAACGGTACAAGGCTATCACGGACCCGATCGGACAGCAAGGTGTCTGTGCAAAGAAGGCCTGGATGACGTGCGCTGCCGTGTGGTGTGCTGCTGCAGTGTCCGTCACGCCAGTGTTCTTAGACCCGGACTTTTTTGTCTACGTCCAAGAAAATCCTTCAACCGGAGGAAATCACGTAAAATCATCCTGCAAATTTCTCCACCCGCCCGTTGTGTCCTCGACGTTGTACGGCAAACTGCGTGTTGTATACAACTTTGCCATCACGTACGTTTTTCCAACGTGCATCATCATCAACCTGTACGGACTGATATGGCGAAAACTTCGGCAGTCGCCGCCGCCATCTACACAATGCAGACGCGCGACCAAGTCAAGGAACAAGGTCACCAAGATGGTTGCCGCTGTTGTTAGCTTTTTCGTCGTGGCGTTGTCTCTGTGGCAGATTAATACACTTCTGCTAGAGTTCAAGTTGGTGAACCAGATTCCCGAGGCTTTGTTTGAACTCGGTTTGCTTCTGTATGTCACGAACTCGGCCATAAACCCAGTCTTTTACGCTTTATTGGGTGAAAGATTTGGCTCATATGTTCGAAAGATAATGTGTTGCCGGCACATTGGCAGAAATGACTTGCGCTTAGCTCAAAACGTCTAGTTATGAGTCACCAGATACAAGTCGACAACATGCTTAGACCAAGCATAGGAAACAGCTGAAACGTACATTCAATATTTCGAGACATGTAATAAAAGGCATTGGATTTAGTTAATGTTTTCCGTGATGTTTTCAGTTTTGGCTCCAATTTAACTCAAATTCGGTTTGATTTATATAAAAAGGGTAGCCGTGGCCTAAATCTGGTCAGCGTGTTCCCAAACACCAGCGACCTCTTCGGCTGGTGCTCGGGAACGAATTCGTAGGGAGTTCGTGTATGTGTGATAGGGGCTTTAAGCAACAGCGCATTCTTGCGGTCTAGTCACAAATTACACCATTTTGATGCAATCCAAACCTCTACGATGGCAGCATTTACACATGCTGGTTACATGGTCAGTTCTAGCAGACCATACAGTAGTATTCATCAACTTGCAATAACAATTACATAGCATTAAGGAGGTTAAGATAGTTTGGCAAGGTGCAGCTTCTCTCAATTCTAATGTAACAGTTCGGCGTTATAGTCTGTATTTCCGGGATTCAATGCCTTTCGAGAAACGTTTTGACCTTACGCGCGTTCGATCTTAGCGATCGCTGTCTAGATTAATGGCCTTACTACTGACTAATCTAATATTTCCTTACGTTCATTGTTTGTAAACATATTTCAAAACATCTGCCCGTTTCTTACAATAGAGAGAGACCTTTACAGATAAACGTAGCGTCGCTAATCCGTTTTGCCCGATACTTTCTCCACAAGTGTCCGCTATAGGATCAGCTGCTCGCTAAGGAGGGACCAGAAATGTAGAAACAGCCCCCGCCGTGACGCGGTAACTATGGTTACCAGATTGGGGCGACGCCCCGCCATGAGAAATACAAACATTTTTGCCCGCGGTGCGGCTTGGCTTTGTGACTTCACTTTTCACAGCAGCACCGTCCACTTGGCGGGGGTGAAGTGGAATTGAAAGTGAGTGTGGGGGGGAGGAGGGAGGGGGGGGGTGCCACAGTATTCTCTCCAAGCAGAGGTTTGGGTTTGGCTTATTACCCTCCATGAAAATGGGGGTACGTGTTTTTACTTCCGTTTCATGTTTGGTCTGATATCTGAAGATCGGTGAGAAGGAACTGTACGATATTTGGCAGATTGATGGATGGGGCCTTGGAGATTGTGTAGGTTGACTTCGAGCCCCTGGTGATTGACCTTGGTACTGCAGTTTAATTTTTTATTCTGTTGTTTTCGCGTTATGGACTGTTTGTGCGATATTAAGGTAGCATGTAGTTGTTATTACCATGGTTTAGTGGTTTAAATTTGGGTCCCCTAGCTGTTTGCGTTTGATATTTACAAAATGTTTAATGTTGGACTTTTTGTGTTGAATGTTTGGAAAATCTAGGGGATGGTTTGGTATGATTTTTGGTATGTGGGTAGTTGTTGAGTCTCTTTGTGTTTTGGAGTGCATTAGCAGGTTGTCGCATATTTTTATTGCTTGATTTAAAAGGATTTTCACTTTTTCACCCCTACTTCATAATAGGATGGTCTGTTTGACCCAAAAGTTGGGACAGAGTGTTTTTGTTTATACCTCCAGCTGGTAGGTCAGACCCAGGCAGCCCTATCTATTTTTACCCCTATAGAGTCTGCAGGAAAATAAATCTTGTTTGTCTGGTCTGCAGGTCATTTGTCTGGTCATTGACCTACATGTACAGGCAAATGTAGCCTGGGTACCATCCCCAGTAGTATATTCGCAAACTCTATAACAGTTTGACTCATAATATCTCTATTGAAATACACCAAAAGATTACAAAATAACAAGCTATTTCATGGAGGGATGATGTCTACGACTTCTCCTTGTTTTTGGCGTGTTTTTAGTTTTTTTTTTTATCGCGCGGATCGCGGTTTCTTTTTTGCCCTGGAATTTTTTTGGGGGAGGGGGTTGGTTTAAAAAAAAATCAAGTGTAAACATGTACAACACGCCAAAAATAAGCCAAACCCCAAACCTCTGCTTGTAGAGTAGGCACAGTATACGTCATTCTAAGTCGCTTTCCACTGGATAGAAAGCGTTGTGCAAGCAAATTGGATTCATGTGAACTATTATTTTATAACCTGATTATGATCCATGATGTAAAATTGTGATTTGAGAGACAACAAACACACAATCATCGATGAAATTTGCTTGAACTAGATGATGAGAATTTTTGTCGGCAACGGTCGTCGCCTCAGTCGAAATGGGGCCTAACTTCTAAAGATTGGCGGGGCAAAAGAAGGTTCTTTTTGTTTTTGAAGACGTTTTTTTCTTGGAGGAATCTCACTACATGTAATCATGTACTTGACATTTTTACTTTTTTTTTTAAAACTTACTTCCCCTTCGACTTTATTGACGTTAATCATACAATAGGAATATCTAATTTCTTCACCGTCCCAAAACTGGCTTTCCTTAATCCTTCCTGAACTAACGTGGACAGACCGAAGATTCCAGTATTAAGTCTTTGTTTGATTTTATCTTGAAGCTTAACGACAATCAGGAGGATTATCCTAAAGCGGGCGGTTGGTGGGAAGTCGGTTTCTTATTGTGTTCCTTAACCTTAGTAATTCGCAAAATGAGGAAAAAAACCCAAAAGGAGTAGGAGAAAAGCTCAAGCGCAGACAACCAGACGATATTTCCTCCCAGCATATCTGGTTAAAGATGACGTTTTCCTGGTTTCTTAAGGAGCCGGCCTTGCAAGCCGACACCAAAAGAACAGCGATGCGGTAAGAGTTGTTCGGTCACGGTACACATGCGGCAAATTGGATCTGTGTAAATCTTGTGTTCCACGCCGCGACGCATCCATGGCGCGGGCGCCGGCCGTGATGGAGTGTGTATGGTGGTCTATTGACCCTACGGCCTCTCCAGCAGGATTCGAACCCGTGTCGACCAATCCAGGCGTACTCCTGTGAAGTAGAATGGAGCCCCCGGGCGATGTATCGTCGCCAACTGAGCAAATTGGCGGGCTAGTCTCTCAGGTGGTCGCGCGGTGTTTATTCTACCGCGCGCTTTGATGTGGTGGCTCGGGAAAGGGCGCCAAAGCCGCCGGGGCGAGTCGAGAGGCTTTAGCCCCGTCTTCAAAGGTTCGTCAAGGAGTCTTAAAACAGGTGGACACAAACGCGCCGCCGCCTGAGAGGCCATCAGACGGAATTGCTAGAAAAACTGCTCGGACACTTACCACCAATTAGCACGCTCTCCACGGCGCATCGACCGGGAGGCCCGACTCTTCAGTAAATTAATTTTAATTACCCTGGGCAAACATGGCGGGGACGGGAGAGGAGAGGATCGATCGGCCGGCGGTGGGAAAATCACGGCACATGAAAGAGAGAAAGTGAAGCGGCGAAGATGCCCAAACCTTCTTGAACGCCACTCAAGTGTCGGGCTTGGATCCAGTTCAAAATGTTTCCCCTCGTTCTTAATCTTACTCTCCTTTCTAACTCCGGATGCTGATTACCTTCTCTTTTCTCAGAACTCACACTTCTGTGTCTTGAATTCATATTTCGTACGCTGTCGAACTTCTATAAATGTCAAAACGAAGGGTAATCGTACACTTCATGTACTTCATTGTGAACTAAGACCTTTTCAAAGCATTCAGAACGCAAGTGTAAGAACTGTTTTCCTGTTGGAAAACGAATGTTCTTCCGATACCAAATTAACAGGACTTACAAGATATTGTACAAATAAAAAAAAAACTATGGGCCTTATTTTCGACTATATTATGCTATAATACTATGATGACATGATGGTAGTGTGTGCTGTGTTCTCGCCACCTATATTTTACTTCTTACGCTTTACAACGCACACGAGGATCAAATCAGCTGTTGGAAGCTAGCCCGTCGCTACTTACATCAAAGACAAAACAAGTAGGCAAATAGAGGAATTTGTGTTGGCAAAAGAGTTTGGAAAGTTTGCCGATAGGACGTTTGTCTCCCTCGACACAATCCGGTTCTTACGTGTCTAATGTAGCCGGCAGGACAGGTGGTCTGTTGTACATGGGCGCCGGATGTTTTCCCTCTCTTTCAGAAATCTTTTCTGTAAATTTCAGCTGAAAACACAGCGGTGTACGTGGGTAGAGGGGTGGCACGAAACGGTTGTTTTTCGTAACCTAGAATTAGCCTCATTTGCAGACTTCTGATGAGGCGGCGTTTTTTTTTTCGGGGAGCGATGCGAGTTATGCCGCCGAGGGACGGTTCACTGAGGGATTTTGCCGGGGAGAGACGGTTTCCGCGCAAAACCGTCCCTCGGCGCAGGCTCCTCGGCGGCATAACTCGCGTCGCTCATCGAAAACATTAACGCCGCCGCATCAGAGGTCTGCGAAGGAGGCTAACCTAGAATCGGAAACGACGGTCGACGTCAGGTATCATCACACCAACATTTAAAAGTTTTGAAAACACAATCATAGTAATTTTCTCATCTTGACTCGTTGCATAATTGATACAACAAAAATCCATAATAGCTTGTTCTTGGAGTAGGAAAGACAATAACAGTGAAATCTGGCCTATCGCACCGTCTTGATAATTTTCTTCAAGTCCAAGGTTCTCTTTTATCGTTGAAACCACCAGAGCATTCATGAATACTAGTAGCTATGTTCTTTTTTTTACGTCTTCATTTGGTTGTCACTTTCGACCTTTTCGTTGTTCCAGAATTTTCGGCACAAGTGAACACAGTGTGGTCAGTGTGGTTACCACGCCGGTCGCTAGGGCATGTGGTGAGGGCACAAAACGGCCACCAAGGGCGGAACATTCAATTACCACACCCCTGTCCCAGTAATTCCATTAACAATAAAAGCAAGGTCAGGGTTCAGATCTTCTAAAATCTAGGTTTTATAAGTCGGTACTTGAGAAACTCCATACTTTTATGATCACATATTTGGCATATAGAAAGATTCTTTATTGACTTATAACAAAAAGTACAAGGACTTTCGTATGGTCTTCTATAGCTAAAGATCTAACAATGCTAAATACATGTATGAATAACGTCATCCTACGTACATAGTATATGTATGCGGCAAACTACGTACAGAATATATGTCAGCGGCAACAATAAAGGTTTAACTATTCTCTAACATGTGGTCTCTAAGATTTAAACATTCTTTAATGATATAATGACTGAGATGATTTCGGGCTGCATTCGTCATTTCGGATGGGGACGTAAAGCCGGTATCCCCGTGTATGGAAGAGCTCCAAACGTTAACCTCAGCCCTTAAATCTCTGCAGGTAAAAGACCCCAACACACCGAAGAGAAGAGTACTAGTAGTTAGTCTAGAAATGCGAGCCGAGGCGAAGCCGTCGCATTTATTTATTTATTAAATATTCGGACAGCTGGGTGGCCCATTGAATTTTGTCGAACTGATTTTCAATGGCGCCCAAACTACAGAAACAATAAAATCATCAATATAACAAGAAAAATTAACTTAAATCAAAATTTAACAAATAACAAAGGGTTGTAAGCCATAAGTAACACAAGTACCCGAAGGTTTACATAAACAAATACATGTGTGACATTAAATCATATACAAAAGCCGATGTAAACAAATCAGAATTGTTTTCCATAACTCATGAACATTTCACAGTCTAGGTCAGCATTGCACTACTTTTGACTAGACAAAATTTCGTTCATCTCAGTTGAGGATGGCTGCCTCACCTTTGACATAATTATTGAGACGGGATATCGACTGTGAGACTATAACGGGAGCATGTCGTGCCACAAGCCCATCAACATGCTATCATGTTAAAGCACATAGAAAACCACCCTCCTGTAACACCATTGCGTTCGTAAAGACGCCTAAAAACGGCGACGAAAACTAGAAGGGAATCTTTTGGCTGCGGTTTCCAGATTTTATCAGTACTTTCTATTTGTCTCTCTGTGGATAGATAGGGTAGAATCAGATGATGTTTGTTACGAACCGCTGCGAAATACAGGGAGCAAGCAGACGAGAAAGCTACTCTGGACTGAAGGTACTCTCCAAGCAGAGGTTGATGGGGAAGATCGTTCCCTTTTATATATGGCCCGTTTTTGTCGCTACCCCCGCCAACCTTGGGTGTCGAATTGGACCCTCTCTTGCCAATGGATACTGCCTGGCCAATTTGATAGTGTCTTTTTGGCACCCTAGGATCTGCTTGGAGATTAGACTGAAGGCACGATTGCGATTGGTGCAGCGGTAAGTCTGCCAATTTTGTATCATATTAGATGATGAGAAACATCATGTTAATTTTTGAAGCGTGTATATATACTGCATAGTAAGTGTTAACCAATGTTTATATTACAGTCTATTCTCGGTAGCAACACTGATGAGCTGAAATTGGTGGACTTGTAGTAGAAGCATTCTGCTTGGAGATTTAATATATACTAGTAGTGGACTTGAAAACTGGTTTGTTGGCAACTCTGGTGTGAGATTCGTTAACTTGACGTCCACCTGAGCTGTACATTTGACCTTGTGGTTACCATGGTGAAACTGCCGGCATGTTGTCCCTGCCAAGCGGTGCTTAGGCCAAACAAAAGTTCCCATTCACTTGTATGTAATCCAACATGGCGGCCCCCACACGTGAGCAAACATGGCGGCCATCCCTCTTGTGGACACGTAAAAAATCGTCTGACAGACTGACACTGACGGGATCTGCTGTCGCCTACAGGCCAATCGAACTGTCTTCATACTATAGGAACTTGGCAAGATTTACAATGAACTAGTAACCTCATGGCCTTCAAGGAACTAAGATATTAACGTCGTTTTCATTCAGGCTTTTCTTAAGAAGGCCGCCCTTGTGGAAAAGACAGCGGCATTAACTGTTATATTCCATCGGTGTTTCAAGTTATAACGTTAATTTTGTGCAAGTTCTGTGAAACTGTTGCCCAGGTATCCTACATGAAACTTACAGAGTGTTTCGTGTCCCGAATGTTACCTTTTTCCCGTAGGCCATGACATGCTGATTGCCTGTATGACGTGTTCAGGTGGCGGCAAAATATAACCTGAAAGTATGGAATAGTTCACATTTTTTTCAACTACATATGCAAACATCGAAAACGAAACTTGATGCATGCCTTCTCCCGTTTCTCCCTATTTTCCGCAGTTCTTATTCTTAGCAGTTAGCTTTATATTCTATTCCGTGTGATCAACAACTTTGTAATATCCAACACATTGTTTGCGAAGACAGTTATTTTAGTCAAATTGTCCTACAATATAGGCCTATGTAGGTATGGTGAATCCGGCATGAAAAACTGAAAACATAGGACACAGGAGTTTTTTACACAAACAAGATTTCTAACCTATGCCTAGTGCTGATGTTTCTATGTCTATCAGAGACCCTCCTCAGAGGTTCTGACTGGAGTTCTGCTTTATCCTATACTTCACCAACCTGATGAAACTATTTTCAGAAACTGAAATCAATTTTCCTTCTGCCCTTTACCTTTACCTATCCTGACTGACTGCATCTTTTCAAATTGGATTAAGGCTTTTGCAGATGTCAGGAGAACGCATTCATGCCGCCCCTCTCTCCCCGGTCTAGGATACCCCGCTCCCGGGAGACAAAGGACACACTCTCCGATACAGGGGCAAATATGTTCAGCAAACCGACATCTAATCGAATTTCTCCTTCAAACGACAATCCTTTACATCACAAACGAGTGGGTCAATAAAATATAACATTACAAAGAGCCAAGAAGCTAAGTAGAGAAGAACAATCTTTTACAGACCTCGCAGCTGTATTTACACATAGAATTAAAACTCTATACATCAACGGCACTGTGGAGACGACTTCTATAGATACTGTATTTTGAAGACATCCATAAATTTCCACAATATACAACAATGGACAAAATTTCAGTACGGATACGGACCACTTACAAGCATATAAACGCCACTTACATGGAGTGTAGCGGGACACCATTCTTGGAGATATTGACATTCTTGCGTAATAAATTACACGAGGGTATCTTTAAATATAGTTACATGCGAAGCCTGATACTCTTGAGAACCCTCCTCCAATTACAATTATCACGGGTCTATACATAACAATTACGTATATATAAACTATTACAATTCATATTCACGACTCCATATATACTTTGATTTTACATTGTATGGCATCATATAGTATGCCTAACATTAACGTTGTCAAGAAACTAAACATAGACAAGAATGTTGGGGATAATTATCTAAAACAAAGGCGTTAAATCCTCTTAGCTCCAGCAAATGAGTGTTGGTTTATCAGTAGCTTGTCCGCTTGGCCAGGACTCCACCCAATGCTGTAGGTCTTTCTGTAACCTCCAGAAGTCAGGTATATTTACGACGATTTGACACATGGAAACTCTAGCCCGGCAAATTTTGGGGGTCAATTTTCGGTCAGTAGTCCGTAGACCACGCATTTGATTTTACCTCTAACTGTGCCCTTTTCTATACTTTTCAGGCCGACGATGTTGAAAAGGTCACATTTACATAAACTTCTACATTTTAGAAGTTTAGTAATCTAGACTGGACAGTTCGTAGGTCTATTCTGAGAGTATCCAAATCGGTATGGGTGAGTTCTTTTCTAGGTGTACAAGTGAGACAAGTCTCTTGCCATATGTATGTTTTACGTGATATGACCACGGTGGCATGGCTTGGTCGGTTTAGAACAGCCTAGCCCGTGCACCCAAACGGCCTCTTGAAGTTTTCGACTTGGAAATTTGTTCCAAAAAGGTGCCAATCCTAGAGTTAGAGTAAAAGAAAGTAACAGTCGTGCGTTTTGTACATTTGTATTTTGTTTGTCAAATTGTTGTTCAATCCCCCCATCTCCTCTTATTCTCAGGAGCAGGGTTCGGGGTTGAAGACTAGAATTTGTCATTTGCCCTACTGACATAACACAAGTACGTGTATATGGGAAAACGCATGTATGTAGAGATCGTAATGACACGTAATGTAAAAGAGATTGTCAGTTCTGTAACTACATTTTGTAATTCTTTGTATGGTACAACATCAACGAAAACTGACTGGCATAAGATATTCACAGATAACAACAACGACAACAAGATTGCACAATACGTTTCTACTCGCTTTACACTGGGTCAAACAGCAACGCAACAGACCCACGGCCGGGGTAATTACTCACAAGACTTGGACAGACATGATATTTTTAAGACATTGCAGCAAAGCCGGTTAAAGATCTTAAAAATTGGGCGGGCAAATTGATGTTCTAACGAGACTTGGAGGGTGCGGTTTGAGGGAAATCCAGAAAGAGACAAAATATGGGACATTGGTAGGCTCTTCGACAGGGAGATTTTTTTGGAGTAAGGTACGTGGCCTTCTCTGTGTAGTCGCTACTAGACCCCTTGAGTCGCCTAAACACTGAAAAAGAAATTGACCAAATAGGGCGAATAATTTTGCAGAGGAATAAGTTGGTCATAGAGTTACATAGCATCGCCCTGCGTTGTCAAAAGGCAAGTCGCTAACTCCTCTGGAAAATCATTCGTCCTTGTATTTGGCCTATTCTTTTTGCTCTGAAGAGAATAAGTCCATCGCCCGTCCTTTGAACGACCAACTGGCCCGCCCCTGCAGTCGTCCGGTCCTCACGAGCACACCTCCTTGAGTGGAGTAGTTTTAGCGTGTTGTCCCAGCGCTTCGATCTGTGCCGAGTGCTCCTTGGCCTTCAGGCGGAGAGTGGCGATACTTGAGGCCCGACGGTCGGACTCGGCCAGCGCCTGCAGCCCGTCCACCTGCAGCATCGGGCGGAGCACGGGAGCGGCGCCGCGGAGGAACGGCGAGAACCCCGCCGGACCCAGCGGCGTTCTGAGCAGCCCGCCGCCGAGCGCCGGGTGGAGGGGGAACGATCCGGGGTGGAGGGCGGGAGGGAGAGGGGACAGGGGCGGGCAGCTCAGTCCGGGGACCCCCGGGGGGTGTTCCCCGGGGTGGTGGGGAGCACAGCCCATGTCCAGGTAGGGGTGGACACCCGGGAGGCCCCCAGGGTGGTGCAGCTGCATCTGAGCTTGTTGCTGGGCCTGGGCCTTTTCCCGCTTCCGCCATTTAGCCCGCCGGTTCTGGAACCAAACCTGTAACACATACACGGGCCATGTTGTAATTACACTTGTTTGACGCAGAACATCATACATTGATATATACATACATATTTCAAAGAATAGTTGTTGCCTTAGTGTTTTCATAATCAATATTTAGGGACGTCGACTACGATCGACTAGTACTGTCAAGGAGGTTACTGTCCAGTATGAATTCAAAAGGACACTAGGATCCCCATTTTGGCTCCTCTTGTAGTATCATGATGATGTTGTTTTTTTCTTGTAGATAGCAAATTAAGTTGAAGTGATGCCTAAGGGCTTTGTTTTTCTTTATTTGGAATACTCGTGGTTGGAAAGATCAAAACATGTTCTGTTTTGAAATGTGTAGGATAAAACACAACTTATGATTTATTTATAACTGCGTATAAAGAAAACAATCTGTATATGAAGCAAATTGCAAGTGGAGACAAGACTGTAATTTACAGTGAACACCAGTAAAAGTTCGGACTAATTTTCTCTGTATCTAGCTCATAAACGCGAAAGCTTCGTCCAAACAACTACATCTTTTGATCTTTACGAACACACGAGACATTAACTACTGTAGAAAACTGCAGCTGCCACTTTGGTATAAAGACGTCACAAACTGCATTTCCCCGAACAATTGGGCAGTAACTAATGGAAATAAAGAGTCATGTAACACGCCATACATCCAACTGGGCGCTTTAAGAGTGCGAATGATTGACTGTCACTCAAGAAGGGTGATTATGCTTCTTTTCTCTCGCTAGCAGACGGTCTTCATTAACTCTGTAATACACATCCACCTAATTCTACATACATCAGGCTGGGACATCGCAGAGTCTTTTCAACTTTTGACAAGTTTATCAACTCCCAAAGTGGCAAACGCAACAATGAGGGGTCATTTTGCTCTCGTACACGGAGAATACTGACCCAAGGACTCTGACGAGGGGCAGGACCTTTAGGAGCGCCTGTAAGCGGACTGTCACTCATAGGAGCCCATCTCTCCCTTCGTACTATTAGATTTGCACATTGTGTTTCGAGAACTGCCAATTTCGGGCAATTTTCTCGAAATTACATCGACTCGAGTAACGCATCCTGTTGAATGCTAATAAAATTGAATGAGCTTTCCCTGTAATTTCCCGCTTTTCAATTTTGCGTGATTAGAGGGTTGGGTATGGATTGCTTTCCAAGACAAAGCAGGGGCACAGAGATTTCCGAAGAGCGGCGGTGCATCTCTCCTCTAGCGGGGAGGCAATTTGACGAGTTAAGCGCCGAGCGCCGCGACACAATCTGCAATCAAATTGTCCCGTCGCGAAACGTCGGCAATAATTGCTTAAATAGCCCGAGAATTAGGCCAAATTACCCTAAGCAAATTTCCCCGCACCCGCTGAAATCAGGGAGAAAATTCGGGGGCAATCTTTGCCGTCGAAAGAGGTCCCGGGGTTGGGAGCCATTTTACGTTAAGAGTCGGTTCATTATCGGAGAATTGCCATTTCCCCTTTTACTCCGACGGAACAAAATGGGCATAATTGGGCCTCGTAAATGGACACAATTTTAGCGCCGCAATTTGGACGGCCGGCGGCGGGCAGTGGGTGATTATGTCCCGGGATGTGTGTGTCATGTAGAGCGGGAAGAGCTGCCGGAGTGAGCCGGCTGTAGGGGACAAAAACTCTCTAAAGTCAAGAACAGTTAAACTTTTCTTCAAACGTTTCAACATTCTCGTATTAATTTAGAAGAAAAACAACTCAATGTGAATATGGTTTATCTGATATGTAGCTGCACATGCCCTTTGGTTGTTTGTTTTCCGTGCCATGCTCATTATGAGGAACTTACGGTACGGTACTCGTACGGTACTTGTACGATGTGTGCTAACAATTATTGAACATAGATAACTAAGAGGTATATAAAATAGATATTTACATCCTTATTACTAAAACTATAAGGTCTAGCATACGTCTTTGATAAAGGGTTACAATCAAGTGGGATAATCATGAGTTTTTGGTATTTTGTAAAGTAACAAAACAGTCTTTTGTCACCTACATTTGTATTGTGGGAGTTGTTGCATCTAAAGATACATTCAAATCTATCTGTAGCATCGAGTCCCTTGAAGTATGTTGTACTTGAATGGCTGGATAAATATAATATCCAGAGCATTCCATGACTAAGTGAAACTCATTTTCAAAATTGACAAAACCTTTGTGTACTTTGATGTTGAACACTAGTGAAAAGCACCATTGATGTTCAAAAGAGAGCGACATTACAACTAGTCTGTTTCCGCTGTTATGTCGATCTGTGTATGTTTCATTTGTTTTGTTGGGAGTCAAAATATCCCCACACATTTTGTAACTAAGTTTCGATTCTTGTGACTGTATCCTTTATTACATCCAATCTGAAATAAGCAGTGTGACCAAAATTTGACAAATCCCTCAACAAATTCCAAAACAATAAACGGATTTTAGATTCCAAAACAAGAAACGATTTTTACGTTTTCCCTAGCTTGTACATGTGTTCAGTTGATAGCAGGGCCAAACTGAACATAATATAAAACTGACTAGGAACTTACCTGTACTCTTGCTTCGGTTAGATCCACCCTCATCGCTAGCTCCTCCCTGTAAGGAAACACGTTATAGTTAGCGGTGGAACAAATTACAACAACCGTCTTTTCATCCACGGACTGTTTATTTGCTTATGACTTCTCTGTACATTTTCTTTGCTGTAAGCTCTAATGCTGAGGTCACATGTCTAAACCGGGGCCCGGCCGGACAGTCTTGTGGAACGAAAAGTATTATATAAAAGGCAACAAAGCACAAAAATCAATAATAGGAATTATTTGCGTATATCATTGATATAAATTGTTAATCGAGGTTTGGAAATGTGACCTCAGCATTATTTACCAGGGTCTCACTGGAAATCACAGACAGCAAGTGTGCCACTCTGGCTAATGGAAAGAGAAGTAGATAGATATATAGATAATTGGATACAAAAAGTCAACAACGGGGCAAGGTCATCATCGAACGTTTGAACGGCAATAAGAATTTGAACCCAGTGTTACATGTTGCATTCATCAAGATAGCTGAAAGAACAGTTTCATACCAGTGCCGCGCACATGTCGTTAAAATCTACCATCCGTTCAGTAGTTTCATTCATCACAGTTCATTATGACCGTTACGTCAATAAAACAATCCGTAGGTTTCAATTGTCATCGGCTCGCAATGCATCAGTAAAACACACCATGACCGCCACTGTAATTAAATCAACACATGACATTCAGCTGATTGAAACGGTTGTTTTTCGGAATTATTTTGCGATAAAACAGCACCCAGGGGTCTGAGAGTTAATTAGCTTGTTGGGAAGCTTTGCGGTCGTTCATTGTCATAAGCGCTGATTGTCCCCATGAGAAATAGATCTATAGTTATTGTGAAAATGTATCTATTACTTTGTATTGTAACTAGGGTATTTTGGTTCCATTTTCAGGATTGATCCAGTAGCCACTGTCACAAAAACCTTTATTGCATACTGTTGCCACACTAGGCTACGTACGGATCACAACAAAACGTACACAACATTGATAAGAGCATAACATACATGCGCCGTTATGCTGAGGTCACATTACCAAACCGGGGCCCGGCCGGGCTGTTTGGATAAACGAAAAAATAACAATTCATATCAAGAATATACCCAGATAATGCTCACGATGAATCTTTCAACTTTCTTGTGCTTGCAATGTGGTAACAATCGTTTAGTTTTCTTTGACTTTCGTCGTGTGTGGTACATTCTATCTTTCCCTTGACCATCGCTCAAAGAAGAAACTATAAAACTGAATCGTAGGATTATGGTTGACGAAGCTATGGTAACTCGCCGTAACATGCATCGGGTTTAAAAATGTTAACGGTTGTCACGATATGAAATACTCGTGATGCTATGACAGTACTGGTAAACGTACCCTACCTACCTCCACTATTTACGGAGCAAAAATGCCCATGTTTTCTGCATATGTATCATATATGATATCAGTTTTCTTCGAAATATAGTCTAAACATGATGCGTAAAACGGATATGAGTAAAAAAGTGAATATCAAGTTCTATGGTGATATTCAATACTTTGCTTTTTATTTGCACACACTTTCAGCTGAAGATATGTAATCATAATTCTATTCCATTTTTTTCTTTCCAGGTTGTCAATAACAGGAGAAAGTTTAGAAAAGTTGAGAGTTTAAGTTGAATTGTTGCAATAGCTCTAAGAGACCGATCTCACTTCCGAGATACAGATACAGACGTAATTCAAAACGACTTTTCGAAATGCTAAACGTGAAATAGTGCATTAATGACAATGATAATGTCTGACAACTTGGGGCGTGGGAAAGGGGAACGTTGACTAACTTAAGAACTATCTATTCGTACTTGTAATATCGAGCCAATCCCTGCCTTGCCTGAAACGACTCTTTTCCTCTACACATCGATGGTTGAGCGGCCAAAATTGAATTTGTGCGACCCTTTATTTTACAATTGGACATGATTCAAGATGTACTGATTAAAAAGAAAAAAAAATGAGTAAAGTGCTGTTCGTCTATGAAATTCGTTGAGAGATCTGTCGAAACTTTGGTCTCTTGGCGTTCTAGTCTCTAGTCAGGGCTTCTAGTGGTGGAGAGTGGGTGTCAGTTATTGATATGATATTGATATCGGTATAAGAAAATTGCAGCACACAGAAACCATTCTATCCAGCTGGCTGTGAGGGGATTAAAATAACAGCACGCCCGGTCGTGCAGGGTGAGGTATTTTTCGTGACGTCCGTTTCGAATTCGCCTGTAAATCTTTTTCTGATTACTGCATCGGAATATAGCCTGCACTATACATTTTATCTACGTCGTAAAATATACTGCAAACTAAGTGTTTACAGACACTTCTTGGCACAATTTCAATACCTTAAAGAAGAGAATATACTTTGTTGTTAGTTTTACTTAGTTATGAGAATGTACCCCCACGAATGACTCAATAGCTGGGATTTGAAATGCAAAGAAATACAACACGCAATACCATCTCCGACTGACTTGCAAGCCCACATTTTATATGGTTTCTTTCATAAGAGAGTGATATTAGCTCGTCGTGTTTTGTTTAGTGGTTTCTGGAGTATGAATCTATTTTTGCATGTGGTTTGCTTCATTGATATCTATAAGATTAGACGTGTATTGTTCATTACTTTATAACAGTCACTACAAACGTACAGGTTATAGCGAACAGTCCGCCCACTTTTGTTTATATTTTCTTGGAATATGCTGTAAACATGCAAGTGCTACAAGTGGGTTTTGCTCCGGAAATATATGTTGGTGACAAGATACTTGTTTAGACGTTTCTTGAGAATCAGGACCTTAATTTTCCTTTTATTGCTAGAGTAGCTTATATAAGAATTGGTTGCTAAAATGGGTCGTGGCTCTTAATGTTTGGCATAATGGCAGCCACTTCTCTTATACTGCTATGATGTGTGTGCTATCAATGTTCTCGTAAGGATTTTGTATTTTGTCCCTTTTGTTATATGTCTGTATTATACTGACATAAAACCGTTATGTTTGTATTGATACTTACTCAGTCTTGATTAAGAAATAGCCATGACTTAACCAACATTCTTGTAGATTATCAAGTTACGGCCCGATTTTGCTTTGTAACCAATATCATTACATGAAACATATACCTTCATTGCATATACCTTCACATTCTTTAAGGTGTGCTTACAGATACGATTTCGCACAGTGTAGAGCCCAAGTATTAACCCCGACAGGGTAAAGATATTGCAAAATAAGTTTTTATATGCAGGAAATTTAAGTTCGCGATGGCTCCACCCCTAGTCCTAGAATTATTTCGTGTTATTTAGAACTTGTTTTTGTTCAGAGAAGAAATTAACACAACAAAAAGGACAAGGACTAATTGATGGCGGACTGTGGTTGTACACAAGTTATATGTTTACACACTATAGAACATTTGTGCCAAGCTCTGTGCTTTTATCGTCGTATGAGCGATCTGTAAGGCTGGTCTATCCGGACATGAAGTACGGCTGCCCGGCACGACGCCTCAGCGTGGTTAGAACAACTGTCTCTCCGGGTAGCCTGCTCGCCCACCCATGTTCGCTTTAATCTAATGTCATTGACAGAATCCCACATTAAGAAAGGTCAATTTTCCTGTCCGTTTGGTGCGACCTCTGGTCTGTACGAGTTAATATCAGGAAAGTGAAGATCTTACGCGGGTGAAATTAAACCCGGGGAACCGACGCGCTCGGCGCAGCTGGGAAAATACTGCCGCGGCTAATTTTAGTGTAACGGGCCCGTCAACTGTCGGAGTAACGGTGTCGGGGTGTCACCCTTCCCCTTCCCCTGATGTCATTAGCTACTCAGGTCTTATGGACTTGTCGGTCCCTTCTTATCCCTCACGTCTGTCTGTAGGGGACACTCACGGCCGGAGCCGCTGTCACTTCCTCAAAGCCTGCCGGACATTCTAACCGGTCGAGAACGCCGACCCGGCCCGCAAATGCACAAACAAACAGACCTTCACTCTGAATTAAAATAACAATAATAATTCGGCTATTAAACCACCATCTTTGGTGTTCATCATTTTGTGGTGTCCCCAATAACACAAATAAACAAACTGCAAAAGGTTGCAACAACCATACACTAGTATGTTGTTAGTTCCAAATGAGTTACCACTTTTACATCCATACCATGACCTTGTAACCTTAATTGTGCTAATTCAACATTTATTATCAAGCATCTAATCAAGTTGTAAATGTCAATTCTACAGTTGTTAATTTGAGGTAACAAGTTTTAGTTCAGAAATGAAGAAAACGCACCTGGTGAAAACGTCGGGGTAGTGGGTCTTGGCAAAGGCCCGTTCTAACTCTTCCAGCTGGTAGCTTGTGAACGTCGTTCGGTAACGTCTTTGTTTCCTTTTCCCGCCGTTTTCCAAGTCAATTCCGGCTAAAGAATTCACTTGTCCGTTGATACTGTCACAGAGATCGTTCAGTTTGTCCTCGTGGGCGGGACCGGAGCTTGTTGGGCTGCCGCACGGGGGAAGGTCGCTCCCCAGCGGGCCACAGTCGCTCTCGCTCCCGCTGTCCTCCCCCTCCATGTCCTCCTGTTTGATCTCTTTCTCCGAGAAATGGTTGCTGTTTAAGTCTTGCTGTACGTCTGCCTTGTCCTCTGCTGATTTTCTTTTCATGGAGAAATCCAGGGCGGCAGTTTCCCCGCTATTGTCCGTCCTCCCCGCCGCTCTGCCGACAGGCGTCACCTCGCTATTCATCCCGCCGCAATTTTCTGCAAAGAAAGGCGAGAATTGAGCCACGGGGAAAGTTTGCTTTTGAATTAATGCAATTTACTCTTTATTCAGGCGAGTTTTAGTTTGAGTTTGGGTTTTTAGGGAACCTTTTTGGGTTCTCTCCGGGGGCCCGGAGAAGGGCAGTTGGATCGCGGCGGCGCTATTTAGTTTTTTACGACGCCGTAATTGGCACCTTTCAGCTCCCGGGGCCGGTAAATGATGGCGGGACGCTCGTGGCGCGGGTTGTAATTGAAGAATCTGACAACTGGCAAAGGTATTGACACATCCATCAAAATACGGGACCAAATTAGGCTGCCTGACAACTAGATCCTCCGGTTCGCTGCGTATTCTGCGAAATTGTTATTATTTTTTTATTGAAACATTATCAAAGATGGTATTGCAGTACAAAGCTATATCGCACTCAAGTTACGAAGACATAGTTTTATGCTACCACTTACAAAACATAGACCATTACGAAATGAAATCCAATATATTGAACTTCAAAGGAAAAGAAATATCTAACACAATGTAATAAAGAACAAAGACATTGAAAGAATGATGAACGCAAGTCCAGTTCCCCACCCAATGAAGAAAATGCAAAGGAAAATTGAGTTTTAGAAGCATTTTGTTGTGGTAATGAAATTTTGAGTAATCTGCGGCATTTAGCCGTAACGGCTCCACTTTAAAATCAAAGAATCTTCGTCCAAAAATCGTCAGCTCGTATGCAACTCTTTGCCTTAATGCCAGATATCTGCTCTTAATTCTAGCTTCTCAGACGTGAGAATGAATCGACGTGATACAAGACATCGTCAGCTTGTGCCCACCCCATCCATATCTCGGCGGGGTCTCCCTTATCACGCTCTTAAACACTCCAGAAAGCGGCGGGGGAAAATCGTCGGAAATGGGGCAAAGTTTTACCGCATTACGCCAGCTTTTCGACAAAGGGGGGCAATTTGGACTCGTTTGTGTCGGGCCAGAAAGCAATACAACGGGGGATAATGACTGCCCCGGCTACGGACCCCGCGGAAAGAGCAATGCGCGCGGGACGCATACTTGGCATACATGCGTATTAAACTATACCGTCCGCCTTACTACATATATAGTTTTTCTGTAATCTAATTGTAAAGCAATCGGTACAGAATGCAACCGGATCGGGCGGGGAAAGTGGGGTCGGGTTAGCGCAGGGGAGAAGAGCCAAACCGTGGCGTAATCACTTGTATTTCTATATCAACGTAACGTAAGGGGTGCGTTGAAAGACGGAAGAAGCGAAATGTCCCATCGCGTGCTAGCGGTAACGACCTGTGTAATATCTCCCGCTTAACCGCCTATGATAACCGTTGTGTACAATATTCCCGGGGCGCAGATCAACAGGAGTTATTTACTTAACTCATTAGCCACACAAACATGTATTAAAGACAGTGTAATCAAACTAGACGACTCTCTGGTGTAGTGGAGCGTATCTGATGGTCGTTTAGCACTGATGAGCGAAGTGTGGCGACCTGACTAGCTCAGCGGGACAGGCGTGATATGGTAACGGCTCAGCGAGCTGCGTAAACCACTATTTAACGTCGGTGTAGCGTGCAAAATGATGAGAACAGCTATGCACACAGGCACAGTTCCACACAAACTTTGGTAGCGACACTAGGTACTGACAGAGAAAGAGAAAGAAGTCTAGTACGTACTTTGCACGAGGATAGAGCGCGCCTCCTTTGCCCCAGGAGCAGGCCCAATCAACCCAAGTCCCGCGACGATCACCGACCCTCTTCCGTCGCTCCCTCGGGAGGGGTGGCTAGTCCGCCCGAGTATTCCCTCGATGCTGTACGGCGATTTCAACGAAGTCATCCTAGAGTCTCCTCTCAGACTTCGACATTCACGAAAGTACGATATCTTCTTAAGAAAGTTTGTGGTGAACCCTCGGCACTGGTATGACAGTTCTCACCGCGGTCACTTTCACTCCTACCTTAACTACGTCCCACCACATACAGGCCGCCGGCTGACAGGATTAAATGGCCGCTTGCATATCAATTGGCCATCAGCCAATCACTGCACTTAATTTCCTACGGTGAAGAGGAGAACACGACCGGGGTGGGAACTATTTACTCTTCTGCGGCCGCTTCTCATTGTGACGTTACTACACCTTTATTCATCACACGATCTGAGTAGGCATGGAAGTGACTGTTTACTCTGAAATTACTACGCGTTTAATAGTGATTGACTAGAATCTGATATTGACCCTGTTATAAAAGTGACTTTTGGATTTGGTAAAATGGCTTTTACTTTTTTTTGTCTCTCTCTCATGTTTCGTTTTTCACTGGATGGAGACTATATAGGCGACCAAATTTGATTTGTATGGACTATGATTTTATAAATGTTATATAATCCATGATCATGATGTAAAAGAAAGCATTATTTGGGAAGTCAACAAACGTACAAAATACACCTATTCATCAATGGAATTCGTTTGAATCTGTTTTTCGTTGTCTGAATAGAAATTTTAGAAATCATTTCCAGGCAATTAATGTCAGTCCTAACCAAAACATCACATAGCTGTGGCGACTTGCTGCTCCTCTCAGTACTTTAAAAACCGACGCGCTGGATGAATTAAATTATCCTCTTACTCCGCCTGCAATTTCAGGAAGTTGTCTGAGAAAAATTACCTTTGGTAAAACGTTGGCTATTTTCTAGACGGTTTTCTTCTGACCGCTGACTTCCTGTCGGGAAACATCCTAATGTTGCCTAATTGTGCCATTTACTCCCTATTTTCGCCTCAGCACTTTAACAGGGGCAAAAATTGGCACGAATACGTCATAAACTATTGGGGTTCAATAATTGTGTGGGGAGGGGGGCGAACAAAAATTTTCAGAGAGAGAGAGAAAGAGAGACAGAGGGAGGGAGAGAGAGGGAGGGGGGAGGGAGGGAGATCAATCAATCAATCAATCAATCTTTATTGCGCAACAATTGCAACAGGTACAATGTATGGCAAGTATAGACAAGAATAACAATACTAAAATCTACTTCTAAATGACTAACTCTAGACGCTACGCTGTAATTGTGTACTATGAGTTATACAATATATATGGGACATGGATACAGTATTAACATCCATTCGAAGTGTCAGAGATGATATGGTTTCTTTTCTGGAGAGCGGAAGATATGATTGGCCTATATATAAGGATATTGGTTCAGGAC